GCCACCTGCTGGCAGCAGAACCCCCATCCCAAACTGGGGTTGACTTGTGAGACAAACAGCAAGAAAATGAGATGAGGCACAAATTTGCCATCAGTTACTGCAACCGGATAAAGGCTGTGGCTGGGGAGTGTGCAAAGGCTCAAGGAGGGACCCAATGAGGGGCGTGGGCCCGCGGAGCGCAAGGCGAAGCGATCCCCACCCATCCCCTTTCCCCTCTACCCCAGCTCTCGCCTCGCCCCTCCCTCTCACGCCTCGCCCCTGGCGACACTCGCCACGCCTTCTCCACGCCCCGCCCCTGCCCCAGAGCGCGCAGCGCAGCACACTCGGGCCAAGAGGGTGCCGTGCGCAGGTGAGTGCCACCGCCTTGCCCTCCGCTCCGATTCCGTTCACCTCTGTTACCCTCTCTGGGGCTCCCATCCCTCTGGGCTCAGCCCCACACTTCCCGCCCTGGAAGGGAATTTCGCTGTGAGACCCCAGCCTACCGCGTGCCTTGTCCTCTACGCTCTCGCGTGCACCCGCGGGGCTCACAGGCTGCAGCCCACCCCTTCCATCCACTCCAAGTCATCGTCCCTCTATCTCCCATCTCCTCAGCCCCCCACCCCTGCCATCTGCAAGCCTCTGGGATAATAGGGCCGCCCTCCTGCCAGGGTCAGGGCAGAAGCCACAGGGGATCCAGTCGCCCCTCTCTGCTTGCCTCACCCCTCAGGGCCTGATTTACCCACGGTGGGCGCTAGAGCAGGGCTCACCCTGGAGCTGGCACCAGAGCAGGGCTTGCTGGTGGTAGCTGGGAAGGGTTTCAAGGATGGGGCCGGAGGTGGGTGTCCCTCAGCCAGTGGCCCCTGGAGCATGAAGGGAGGGAGTCCAAGGCACAGTGCCCTGCAAGGTGGGAGTCTGCAATTGGGCGCTAAGGGAAGGCGGCTACGGCCACTGAGCTGTGGACAGACTGCAGGCAGAGACTACCGCCTAGGTGCCCTGGTGTGGCACTCACACACAGCCACCCTAGGCTGGAAGACTTCCCTGCCAGCTGGAGATGCAGCACCTGCACATCCACAGCTTGCAACTTGTGTCCCAAGCCCTCCTGGCTTCTGCTAGGGATATCCACCCCTCCCCAGAATCAAGAACACATTCCTGAAAGGTTCACTGGGTGCTGGCCCCTGAGGTCCCACTCACAGAGACCTGTCAAATGGCTGGCCTGGGACCCTGTGTGGGGGGAGCAGGAACTGGTGCTGTCCTCTGTTTGACACAGTCCCATCTTCTGTCGAGTGCCTTAGAAGAGGAGGACCTCCTGGGGGAAGCCAGCAGCATGCGGTACCCTCCAGGGCAGAGGATGGTCCACAGCACAGATGACAATGACCCACCATTGATTTCCAGTAAAATAATAAGCAATTTCTGAAGGAGTGTGCTGGTGTGGGAAGGGAGTCTAGGATACCTCTGCAGACACAACTGAGGCCCCAGGAGGGGCTATGCCCCCACCCTGGCCTCCTTGCTGCATCAGGCTAACCTACACTGCTCCACAGTCCCCTGGTGGGAAATGGGTGCTGCCTCTGGCAAACACTGCCTTAAGGATGGAGAGTATTGGTGGGAGGTTCTGGGGCTAGACCACTCAGTGGGAGAGGCAGGCCTGGACTGGGGGCCTGGGGTGCTAGGACCCTGCACATGTGCACCTGCAGGTCTGCAGCCCCCACAGAAGTGAGGGCCCCAGAGTGCAGCCTCTGCCTCCCTGAACAGCAGCTCCTACAGCCACCTCTGGCCAGCCTGGAAGGGGTTGGTGAGGTGCAATGGACCTCTTACCCCTGGCCTAGGGGCCCAGGCACAGAGGCTCTGCCCTGTCTTCAGGCTCCTGGGAAGCCTCAGCTCCCTCCCTTTTCAGAGAAGCCCAGGTGCCTTTCCTGATGCTGAGACGTTTGGGGCAGCTTGTGGCAGCATTTATTGAGAACCCACTGTGTGCGAAGTGCTGAATGCAGCAACTTTCGCACCCAAGCTCCGTTCAGTGTCATCTGTTCAGTGACTGCATTTTTTTTTTTTAAGTGACCACACTTTAGAGCAGTTGTTTACATCAGCAGCCAGGGTTGAGAGAAGATCACATGGCCGGTGTGGGTATGGGGGCTAGGGTCTGTCCCCAGTGCCATGTTAGGCTGAAAGCTGGTTAAGCAGATCTCTTCTTGGTGGGGGCTCGAGGCCAAAAAGCCCCCAGTGTCAACTCACTGATCTGCTGAACTCCCCCACCCTCAGGGGAAAGGGCCTTGGGAACAGTTTCCTCATGAGTGTATAATTTTTGTGACTAAGAAGATTGCCACTTACAAATGATGGCTCTGTCAGAACTATGTTCCAAGAGGCGAGCTGAGCAATGAGGGTCTATTTCTGTTATTTGCTGCTCTGAAGTCTAACTCAGGTGCCTCGGAGCACCTTTCTGGGCGCTGGGCATCTGGGAGTGCCCCTACTTTTGAGAGAGCATCCTACAAAGACAAGGAGTTCATCTCATTTTAGCTACTCAGGAGTCTGTAAGTAGACACTGTAGTCCAGCCTGGGTGACAGAGCCAAACCTTTTCTCTAAAATGAAACACAGCCATGCACTCCAGAGCCTGTCCTATTCCAGGGAGTCCAGGGCCTGTGCTAGGGGTGAATCTGAACTGGACAGCCACCACCTCCCATACCCCATGAGTGAATAGCTCACCCTCAGGGTCTGGCCCCTCAAGTCCAAGTGGAATGGGTCAAAGCCCTTCCTAGGCCTCTGCAGCTGGCCCTGAGCCCCATCTAGACTCTTCTGCATCCCTCCCCAGTTGTCTCCAGACCACTGCTCTTCTAAGAAGTCTCCATGACAGCCCAAGGGAGTGTTAAACATTACATAATTGATTTCTTTTAAAAATGGGGTGAGGGTGCCTTCTGTGCCTAGCCCTGGGGAGCAGAGGTCAACAGGCTCACTTGCTACTCACAGGAGTGAGCTTCCCAGGGGGCCCTCTTCTCAGTACCCTGAGAGAGACCAGGCACAGATGCTGGCTGGAGACCAGGTATCACTTTTCCCTAACACAGGAACATCCCTTTGGATGGAGGTCCTAAGTGCTGCCACAGGGACTCCTGGGCATGGTCTTCAAATTCATTTGTCCCCAAAACATCATACCCTGACCTTTTTTAATACTCTTAAGCAGGACTCTCTCATCACTTCTAGGGGTGCCAGCCATGCTCTCTGTGAATATGTCTCTACCTCCCCCCCCCACCTTGGTATCTCTGCACCATGTTTCCAGTGAATCTCCATCCTCTCTTCCAATTCATCAATTCTCTCTTCAACTCCATCTATACTGAAGTTGGTCCTATCTTTGTGGGGTTTTTCCCCTAAATGATTATATTTTTCACATCCAAGATTTGTAGTTTTTAAAAAATGGACACCTGCTCATTTTACTTCTTAGAAGCCAAATTTATTTCATAATATTTTATCCATGCCTTATTCAATGATCTCAAACATATTTAGACATATCTAACTTGCTAAGCCATACTATTTTTATTTCACCCAAAATTAATCTACTGGTTGACCTTCTCCTTGTTGATTTTCTACGTCATATTTCCCAGTGTAAATTGGCCACATGAACTTGGGAGTTCTGGTGTGTTGGCCCATAGGTAGTGGAGGGCCTTCATTAGGTCATAGGTTGTGTGTATGTCCTGGGCTTCCTGTCCTCTTTCTGGACTCTTTTTTTTCCTAGCATATCAGATTTCAGCTGCCCTTGCTTAGCCCATGGAACCCCCAGCCCAGGGCTGGTCCTTCCCTGGCCATCATTGGAGAATGTCCTTGTTCTGAGGTGATTTGGGGGTCACTGCAGGTCAGCTGAGCAGACCCAAGTTTCAGGGTAGCACCTGCTGGGGTCAGCATGGGCCTTTTTAGCCCATACAGGCTACCTACCAGCTGGCTACACCTTGGCATCATACTGTCTGAGAGGTCAGTCCTCTGAATGCTACCTTCCTTTCCCTCTTGTTGGGGAGGTATTTGCTTTCTTTTGAGCACCATTTTTTAAGGAATGGTGTCGAACGTGGAGGGAAACACAGAAACAATGTGAGAAGTCAGCCTGCACCTGTCACCTGAACTGGCAGGCGTCACCTCTGCTCTGTCCCTGCACAGCCCATTCTCCTCCCTCCCTCTTCCCTTCCCTTCCCTTCCAAGTTCTCCACTTATGCTTCTCTGGCCTCAAAGCTGGGATTGGGACTGGGGGTGCAGGCAGCAGCCCTCGAGCACTGCAGGCTGTGGGCTGCAGGGTGTATCTCCTATAGCTGGGGTGGAACGGTTCTGTGTTTTTTTGTGTTCATATGTCTGCAGCCGCCTCCGGGGGGCATGTGCCTTGCTCATGCTATGTCCTCTGCCTGGGGCTTGGGACATGTTTACCACTTCTGGGGAGTGACAGATCCCACTCTGGCCAGGTAAGAGGCTGGGGGTCCAGTGGCCCACCGTGCCAGATCTGCTATACATATGTCAAAGCAGCAATGACAATGCCACATCATCCATGGCACCCGTCCTGGGGGACAGGCTGTCCAGCCACTGTCTGGTGCAGGTTCCTATGCGATTGGTGCTGCTGCATGGCCAGACTCTGGGCAGGGGGCTATTTTGGGTGATGTGGGCAGCATTCCCTAGAGCTGGGGGGACACTGGCAGAGTCTCTGCAGCTTGTGTAAGACCAACACCCTGGCTGTGTCTAGCTTTGGGGTCATCCAGGAAAGCAGGACTCAGCGGTGGTGGCTGCAGCTGAGCAGGGCAGTATCGACTGGCCTGTCCATCTCTGCTCCCAGCCTCCCATCCAGCAACCTACCCGGCCACTCCTTCCTCTCCAGACTTGTTTTCCAAACAATTTGCTTAATGTGATTCCTGGTGGGGTTGAAGAGTGACTAATCCTGTTTACCCTGTAATCCTGCTGCCTCCAGCGGGCGGGCCAGCCCAGGGCAAGGATGCCTGGGCGTCTGGACTCACCATCCACCTGCCCTTCTTCTCTTATAGAGACAGACCTGCCCTCAGGCAATGCCATGGAGCCCTTGTTCCCGGCCCCTGTTTCCAGCTGGAATGCTTCCTTGGCGGCCACCTGGGGAGGCAGTGACAACGAGACATTGGCAGGGCAGGCAGCCAAGGCAGGGGCTCGGGCAGTGCTGGTGCCTGTGTTATACCTGCTCGTTTGCACTGTGGGGCTGGGCGGTAACGCGCTGGTCATCTATGTGGTGCTGCGCCACGCCAAGATGAAGACAGTCACCAACATTTACATCCTCAATCTGGCAGTGGCCGACGTGCTGCTGCTGCTGGGGCTGCCTTTCCTGGCCACACAGAACGCCGCCTCCTTCTGGCCCTTCGGTCCGTTTCTATGCCGCCTGGTCATGACGCTGGATGGCATCAACCAGTTCACCAGTGTCTTCTGTCTGATGGTTATGAGTGTCGACCGCTACCTGGCAGTGGTCCACCCTCTGCGTTCTACCCGCTGGCGCCGCCCACGAGTGGCCAAACTGGCCAGCGCCGCAGTCTGGGCCTTCTCACTGCTTATGGCACTGCCACTGCCAGTGTTTGCAGATATCCAGGAGGGCTGGGGCACCTGCAACCTCAGCTGGCCAGAGCCTGTGGGGCTGTGGGGTGCTGTCTTTGTCATCTACACGTCCGTGCTGGGCTTCTTTGGGCCGTTGCTGGTCATCTGCCTCTGCTACCTGCTCATCGTGCTGAAGGTAAAGGCGGCAGGTGCACGTGCAGGCTGCCAGCGGCGTAGGCGGTCAGAGCGCAAGACGACACGCATGGTGGTGGTGGTGGTGGCTGTGTTTGCGGGCTGCTGGCTGCCTTTCTTTGCCGTCAACCTCGTCAACCTGGCCATTGCCCTGCCTGAGGAGCCTGCCTCCGCTGGCCTCTACTTCTTTGTGGTCATCCTCTCCTACGCCAATAGCTGTGCCAACCCCATCCTCTACGGCTTCCTCTCTGACAACTTCCGCCAGAGCTTCCGCAAGGTCCTGTGCCTCCGCAAGGGCTATGGCACTGAGGATGCAGATGCTGCAGAGCCGAGGCTGAACAAGACTGGGCAGCCACGGGAGGCCCCGCTGCCCCCAAGTAGCCCTGAGGCCAAGAGTCCCGTGCAGACCAGCAGGCTGTGAAGTACCCATGTCACCACCCCAGGATGTGGGGCTGCAGTATGAGGACAGAGCTCCTGGGCTAAGGGTGGACACAGCATAGCTGGTGTCCTTCAGTAACACCTATCTCCCCACCCACCTGTCCTGGGCATGACAGGCTCATTAGCATCTTGAGGGGGGTGCTCGGCCGTGCCCACAGTGCTGAGGGCCTCTCCAGCTCCACTCTGCCCATGTCAGCTGCTAGCCTCCCCCGCTGGGGGAGACTTTTCCTGCAGGCTATCAGGCGAGAACATCTTCCTGACCATCAATGTGAGCTGGCAGCTTGCCCACCCTATGGCCCTGCTGCATGTGCCCATCATTTGTCAGCCCTGTGTTTCCCAGTCACTGTCCCAGTGCTACTCTGTGAAATTAAAGGCACCTGATAGCTCTTGGCTCTGGCCTCTGCTTCCCAGTGTGCCTGGTCCCAGCATCTGCTGCTGTGTGGAAGTTGCAGGTAGGAAGGAGCAGTGTGGTGCTGGGCCATGCTCAGCCAGGGTCCTCCCCATCCTTGTGCTCAGAGCCGTAGCCCCTGCCTGCAGCCCCCACCAGAATGAAAGCTTCTGGCTTCAATTGATGTCCTGAAGTCAGGGGAGCTGCCTGGGGGGATACAGGCCCAGCTAGGCTCCACGTGGCTGTGGGCAGGAGGGTACTAGCACAGAGGAGAGCCAGGATCAGGTTGGATGGAGCCCCTGCCCTCTGTCTCCTTGGGGTGCATGTGGCCATGCTCACTGGGGTTGGTTTTGTCCCATGGGGCCTAGTTTCTGAGGCACCAGGGACCTAACACTAGAGACTGGTGGTGACTGGGGAGCCTACAGCTGTGTCTTCTGCTTTCGGATGGAGGCTCTGGGCCAGGGCAGGAGCAGAAAAGGGACAGTCCTGCTGACTACAGACAGAGGTGCTCCCAAGGCAAACAGCAAACACTCTGCAGGGAAGGAAGTAGCCACGTGGGATGTACAAATGCCAGCCCCCTGCACATCTGCCACCCAGACCCAGAATGGTGACCTGAGAACCTTGCCGGGGCCCTCAGCATCTGAGGCCGCCCCATGATTTGGAAGGAGGGGGACCAGGGTGAGGACCCCCTCAGCGCAACAGACTCCTCACAGGGACAACCCTGCCTGCTGCCTGTTGGCCAGAGCAGGGCCCCATCCTCCCAGGAGGGCACATGATCAGGATGAGCCCTACTGAGCAGGCCAGGGTGGGCAAAAGGCCCCAGACAGGCCGAGCCCTGGAAATACCTTCCGAGTAATGAGGACACCCCTGTTTGACAACCTGCTCTCCTGAATAAATTAGGGAATAAATGTTTGATTCTTTCGCAAAGCAAATATTGTCAGTGGAGCTGACTCCAGCCGGCAGACCAGAGCCAGCAGGGCTCAGCTCCTCTGAGGCTCATGGTCATCCTTTCCAGTGTGGTGTGACGTTGCCCCAGCCCCAGCTTGAGCCGAGCCCCAATGAGGCTGGGATAGGGGTGGCCAGACACCAAGGGGAAAGCAGGAACCGGATGGTTAAGTGACCAGACAAGTAGAATCTGTAAACAGGACTGAAGAGGAGAGGGAAGCCGTCTGGGGGTCCGAGGAGGGATGGGGTGTGCTTCTCCATGGGGAGCCTGCAAGATTCTTCATCTGAGTCAGCAGGAATTGGTGACAAAACCCACCCCCTAGGGGTCTAGCATTGCAGGAAGGTACACGGGGCCCTAGGAGGAGCCAATTGCCATGCAACTGGGTTGCCCTAGAATCTGGGCACAAAGTGCACCTGGTTAGAGTGACTTTGGGGACTGAGCAGATGGCTCAGAAATCTGCCTGGATCAATTCTCCCAATCGATTTGAGGTCCTGCTCTCCCCCTAAGGCCAAGCCAACCAAGCGTGCTGTGTGGGCAGGACAACTGCCAGCAGTGCCTAGCCAGCCCCACTGCCCACTAGGGGTGAAGATGCCCCCAAACTCCCAATTCTCAGGCTCCCTGCCTCCACCTCATCCAGCCTAGAGTCCTAGGGCCTGCCCAGACCCTGGTCACAGGGACCCTGTTCCCCCATTGTGTGGGCCCCAGCCTTGCAGCCCTGCCAGGCTCCCACTGCCTGGTCCCAGCCATACACTACCACCTCCACACTCAGGCCTTGGACTTGACGGTTGCCTCACACCAACACTGGATGGCAAGCTCTTCCAAGAGTCCCTGCTATACTCCTGCTGGGCTGGCCTAGGAGGACAGTAAGTTTACATGGTGACCCCGGCAGCTGGACCTGTGTCCCTTCTTACTGTCCATAGCCTGGCTTGGCTGATGCCTGAAGCAGAGCACATGTGTCCTCAGAAAGATAATGATGTGCACCAGCACAGGTTGGTTGTGGCAATCCAGTCAGCCTGGAAGAGCATTCCAGGAAGAGGGAACTCCATGTAAAGGCTCAGCGGCAAAGGAGCAAAGCCACACGCTTTCTCTGCATTGGGGTGTTCGGGGCAAGAGAGAGGAGCAGATATGACCACCAGGTCCTGCCCTGAGTGGGGGCTTTATCCCAGGCTGACAGGTTGAGAGAGGACAGAGCTGCACTCACTATAGCTCAAGAGAAAAGAACAGACCAGAGAAGGGAGGCACTGGACACAGGGACAGAGCAGAGGTTGAGTTGTCAGGAGCTGGGTAACGGTGCTAGGCAGGTTCCTGCATGTAGCATGTGGCCAGGGGGAGGGGACAAGCCCCCGGGTCTGATGGGTTAGGAGTTGTCTGGAAGTCTCCAGGCAGCCCATGGACCCTGGGGACCAGGCTTAGCCAGTGTGGACAGTCCTCAGAGCCACACTGGAGGGACAGACAAACACACTCCAGGGTCCCCACACTAAAGCCCCCAGGTGAGTGTCCCAGGAGGAGGTGGATCTCTGGTGGGTCTGCTGCCCTCTTGCATCGAGCACCAAGGGACCAGTGAGGGTCTGTGGGTGGCCAGGACGCCTTCCTGAGAGACTGGGCTGGGGTGCACAGAGCAAACATTCTCCAGTGCACAGCAGCTGCTCTGTCTGCCTGGATGGGTTTTATTGGCCACTGGGCCCTGCTTCTCTGAGTGACCTCGCTCAGGAAATCCGGCCTTGGGGCAAGGACAAGTGTGGAGGCTGGGAATGGTGGCTGGGAGGCACCAGGAGGGGTGTTGTCCTCCCCACAATGAAGGGAGTGCAGTCTGGGCTGTGGGGGGCTGACAGGCCCTCATAGCCCAGCCCCACCAGCAGGAGCAAGGTAGGGGTCCAGGGCAGGGGCAGGAAGGGCCTGGAGAAGGAGCTGCGTGGGTGGATGAGGTGGGGTTGGACAGAAGCCAGGGGGTGCTCTCAGGGCAGCTTCCAGTCTTGGGGGCTCCCTAGCAAGTGTGGAAGGGAGGGGCTAGGGCAGTGTGGGCAGCACAGTGCCCTGGGCTGACAACCTTGGGGACACAGGAAGATGGAGGGGCTGGGGAGAGCCTCCAGCCAAGCACAGCCACCTCTCTCTTCCCTCCCTCCTGTGCCCTGCTGGGTTCCCACTGACTGGACACACCCAGAATCTGTAATCGTGGTTCATAGTGGTCAGTGATCATCTCAGAGTAGGTGACAGATGTGGGAGCTAACAGGAGACACTGGCCCCTCCATCTGAGTCCCTATCTCATATCATGAAGCCTGAGAGGGTGGCCAGAGGGTGAGGCAGATGTCCAAAGAGCCCCGGCCCCTGACCCCACAAAGGTGCTCGGGTCCTACCAAAGGGCCATGCCAAGGGGTCCCTGGAGGAAGCAGGGGTTCTATGGCTGCTGGTGCCTTGGGACGGTCAGGAGAGAGGGTCCCACTGCTTCTTCTGCCCACCTGGCTCTCTAGATGGTGGGTTTACCCGTGTGTCCTCTGAGGCCGTCCTGCTCCAGCCTAACCATGATGGATGTCCACCTGCCCCCCAAACCAGGCCCTGCCCATGTGTCACCTGAGGGGCACAGAGAGTGGCAGTGAGCATGTGGCTAGAAATGCCAGCAGCTACAACAAGAGGAAGGGGTGTCCTGCAGGTCTGTGGCAACCAAGATGATTTTTTATTCCTTCCTGTATCTTTCAAATTCTCTATTTCCTCTCGAGTTTTCCATTTATACAAGTTCCTATGGGGCAAGAAGCCTACCCTTTTCTATCTCTGGAGCAGGTGCCCTTCCTGTCTTGAGTTATAGTTTCCAGATTGATATAGAGCAATATATTTTACTTTTTTGAAGTCTGACCTTAACATGTATCTACTTGAAAAATTCTTCCACTTTTCTGCTTAACCCATCCAGAGATTAGCTAAACGACGTTACATATTTTTAATATTCTGGTGAAGTAGATACATATATACATAAAACGAAGTTTTGTCACCTTAACTATCTTTATGTACAGTGCGGTGGCGTTATGTACATTCACACTGTTGAGCAGCCATCACCACATCCACCTCCAGAATGCCTTTCAACATCACAAAGTGAAGCAAGCTCTGTCCCCATTCAACCTCTCCCTGTTGCCACCTCCCCATCCCTGGCCCACTGCTCTGTTTTCTATCTCCATGATTGTGATGACTCCGGGGACCACATGAAAGTGGAATCATCTGGGGTTGGACCACAAAGTTTCAAGATGTGAAATTTTGGAGGGACACTTCCAAGCCATGGCATCTATCTTTAGCTATCGTGAGCAATGCTGCCACAGAACATGAAGTCCATGCCATGGATCTGTAATGATGATCATGCTGGAAGCACTTTCATTCAGCTGAACTTCATCTTGGCACATGATATGAGTATTAACTGGAAAGCACCCACCCCCTCCTCTCTGCTGCCTGCCTTCCTGGTGCCCTTGCATCCTCTTGGGATGATAAGCTTCTGGCAATTCTGTCCTTCTCTGCCTGGTGGTCACTGCATCAATTAGGAGACCTGCATACTCCATTTTAATATCAACTAGAGAAAGTCTCCACCCAAGACTGAGCCAAGATTCATTCTTCCAGGTTTCCCTTCAACATTACAAGGTTAAAAAATGAAATTTTTGCACAAATGTTCATAATACCATTCATTATTCATAATAGTCAAAAGGTGGAAACAACCAAGTGTTCATGAACGGATGAACTGATGAACAAATGCAGCCATCCATGCACTGGAACTGTGCTCATCTGTGAGAAGGAACGACGCCCCGAAACGCCACAACATGGATGAGCTTCACAAACGGGGTGCCTGGGGAGAGAAGCCAGACACAGGGCCGTGCGTTGAGTGGCTCTAATTATATGGGATGTCAGAACAGGCAAGTCCACAGATGCTACCCAAGGCTGTGGGCAGGGAGTGAAGATAATGGGGACAGATTTCTTTTGGGGGGATGGAAACATTCTGGAACCAGACAGAGGAGGTGGTTGTGCAGAGTGTAGTAATGCCACTCAACAGTTCCCTCTAACATGGTGAATTTTATGTTTTATGAATTTCGGCTAAATATTTAAAATCAGGTTTCTCTTGAAATTTCACTGCACTGGTAAACTATCACCCAAAAGAGAACTGAGCTATCCCTTGGTGCCAGCATTGTGCTTTGGTCTCTTATGGGGAAATGTACACGCTGGGTCACATCTGGATCCAGATGGCTGTGTATGCCCTAGGCAGCGCCAAGGCCGCTGCTGGGTCTGTGTCTTTCACTTGGTATAGAGGAGCACATTCATCACCCGCCTGACCTGCGCTTGGTTGCCCTGCAGAGAATCCTGAACTGACCTCATCTTTCTCCATTCTCAGTTTTTAAAATTAAACGAGACTGGACGGTGAGCAGGTTGCAGGTGCCACTGCCTTGTCCTAGATCTGCCAGCAGGGCCCCAGCACATCCCCACAAGTGCACCAAGGCTTTGGGTGGGTGCTGCCCAGCCCAGCTCTCCAGGGTCTGTCCTGCCCACACCAAGGGTATGTTCTCCTGAGTATGTGCTCATTCCCATGGCCATGGAAACACCCGTTCTTGGGGGCCCAGCCTGGGTCCAGCTCAACACGGTCCTGTCTGGGCCTTTACCAAGCCTAGCCCCCGCCCTCCAGCCTACTGCAGTGCATTTTCTGGGATTTCTAGGGGTGCCGTGTCTTCCAGGCCTCCCTTCTGCAGAGCAGCCTACATTCTGCAGGGCAGTGCTGACTCCCAGGAATCACAGAGGCCGTAGGCCTAAAGGCAGCTGGCCCACGGCCAGGGAGGAAACCCTTGTCTGGGGCTCCTGAGCTCCCTGCCTGGCTCTGGTGCAGAGCAGGCTGCGGGGTAAGAGTGGACATCCTCCCTTGGCTCAGATGGCCTCCCCGACCCTGTCCAACCCAGCTCTCCCTTGGGGCTTGACCCTCTGCATGGGCAGCTGGGACCACCATCCCACTGCTGCCGCCTCTTGGAGTATCTGCAACACTTGGCCCCAATGAGACCCTCCATGGGACCTCCCCAAGGCAGTAGCGCCAGGGGTGTGTGGCCCTGTCAAGTAACTGACCAGCTCTGCCCTCCTGGTCAGTGGCCAAAAGTAGGCTGTCTAGGGAGACTTGGCTCTGGGTTCCCCTGTAAGCCCTGGAGGACAGCTGGACTCATGCCTTGGGACCAAATGCCCAGACCTAAAAGATATGCTTTTAGCCCTGCGCTCCCAGGGCACTGCTGCCACCACTCTGTGGACCCTGCCTAAGCCCTCTGCTCCCCACTGCAAGACAGGGGTGCTGAGGCCATAGGGCAAGCTAGAAGGGACACAGGCTTTGTTTGAAGAAGGCTGGACAGTGGTGGGAGCCTGGCCCTGGCTGTGGGGGCCTTGGTGTTCTCCTCACTTAGGAAGGAGGCCAAGTGACCACTGTACCAGCATGGGGGCCCAAGAATGCATAGCCAGGTGGCCCCTCTTTGGCCAGGCTGGCTTCAGCATGGGTTATGGGAGGGGAGACCAGGCCTCAGGGCAGAGGGAGGTGCCTCAGACCCTCTCCTTTCCTGTTTGGGGCCCTTTCTGCCGCCAGGGCCCATTAGCACTTGAGGTGGCTGTGGCACTCCTGCTGGTTGCCAAGTGCCCTGGGTGTGTCCCCAGCCAGAGACAGGATGAAGACATAGGCTTAAGGGGCAAAGTGCACCTGAGGCTCTATCCTCTTCAGTGTTCAGGAGGGGCAGGTCCCCAGTGGGGACAGGCAGGGCCCAGGCCTGTGGCCTCCAGCACCCTTCTCTCCTGGGTGTCACCAGCCCAGGACACCGTCCTCACTCCTCCTGGTCCTGTGCAGCAACCCCCCAACACACAACAGGAGTCTTAGAAGGAAGGTTATCTGGGGTTGCAGGTGGCAGCCTGATCCCAGTGCTCTCAAGAGGGACTTGGGGGACCCACATGCTTGGGCTGAGGGATGGACAGCTGGAATGAGCCCCTTCCATGCAGACAAACCCTACACAGACAGTGAATGAGAAGCTGACGGCTCTCAAGTGTCCCAACCACCTTTCTCTGTCAGGGTCTGTTCTGGGGTCCCCAGCCTTACCTGTGGTGTCAGCTCCCAGGATACATGCTCAGCTGGTTGCCAGACACTGGCTAGGCCTCAGTTTCCCTCTGTCCCCAGGATAGGAGCAAATTTGCTAGGTGAGAGTGGCCAGCAGGGCATCCACTGTCCTTGGAACTATGAGAGGAAGCAGCCAGGCTGGGCCCTGACTGTCCATGACCTATGCCTTCAGGGGGGCAGCAGGCATGTCTATGCCCACTGGTCCTTCCCTCTTATAGCCCCGTCCTCCTTTCCCAGCCCCTCTGCCTTGCCACCCCCTCAGGCTCCTGAGGGTAGCAATGTCCACCCCCATAGGCCAGGGCTCCTGGTGGCAGGGGAAGGCACAGAGTTCCTGTCTGCATCTCCCCACTCTGTGTAGGTGAGGATGGGAGACCCTCCTTGAGATCCATGAGCCAATCCCACCCCCCGGAAGGCTGGTGGCGCTGACCCCTCCCCCATCAGTAGACCACCATGGTGGGGTGATCCTGGAGTTGGAACAAGGAGCTTATGCCTTTGGAGACCCTCCAGGGGTGAGGGTGGGGGAGACGGTAGGTTGAGGGTCAGGGAGCAGGAGTGATGGAAGGAGGGCAGGTTGGGGAGAGCAGAAGTGAGTGAGGAGAGGGCAGAGGTGAGAGTGGGGAGGGTAAGGGGGTGAGTGAGGCCAGGGCAGGGGTGAGGGTGGAGAAGGCAGGGAGAGGGTAGTGAGGGTAGGGAGGGCAGACAGGAGGGTGAGGAGGGCAGGAATATGAGTGGAGAGAGCAGAGGTGAAGGTAGAGAGGGCAGAGAGAGGGTGCTGAGGGTGGAATGAGGGTGGAGAGGGCAGAGGTGAAAGTGGGGAGGGTGAGGTGGGAATGAAGGAAAGCCGGACAAGGGTGAGGATAGAGAGGGCAGAGTAAGGGTGGTGAGGGCAAGGAAGGCAGATGGGAGGGTGATGAGGGCAGGGGTGAGAGTGGAGAAGACAGGGGTGAGGGTAGAGAGGGCAGGAGGAAGGTGGGGACAAGAATGAAGGAGAGCAGGGCAGGGGTAAGGACAGAGAGGGCAGAGGTGAGGGTGGGGAGGGCAGGAGTGACTCTGGAGAGAGCAGAGAGAGAGCATGGAGAATGAAGGGTGGAGTGAGGGTAGAGAGGCAGAGATGAAGGGAAGATGAGGGAGGGCAGAGCAGGGGTGAAGGTGGAGAGAGTGGGAGGAGGATGGGGAGGGTGGGGTGGGAATGAGGGAGGGCAGGGCAGTGGTGAGGATGCAGAGGGCAGAGGTGAGGGTGAAGAGAGCAGGAATAAAGGTAGAGAGAGTGGGGTGAGGGCAGGGAGGGTGAGGAAGGTGGCTGGGAGGGTGGTAATGAGGGTGGCAGAGTGTCCCAGTGCTGTAAGTGTGACCACCCTCTGTGCCCTACTGCCTGGGACAGGGGCATGGTCCACTCACCACTCCCATAGGGAACCCTCACTGCTCTAAGTGTGGCCTTGCCACGTGGACCCAGCTTCAGCCATATCTGAGCACAGGAATCCACATGGGTGACTGGAGGTCAAGCTCTGCACTTTCTCCACCACCCCTGCCCTTCTGGACAGATCAGTGGACCCTGTGAGCCCCAGAAAATCAGCCTCCTGGTGCTCAGTCAGGCATCTCCTGCCAAGGATGAGCCTCCCCACAGGCTGGCACCCCTGCCCTGGCCATTGTGTTCACTTATTGCCTCTGGAATTTACCATGTGTTTCCTGCTAGAATTTGGGTTCTGAAAGGTCCAGCTCTGCCTTTGCCAGCTCCCAGCAGGTGCTGGGAAATACTCAATGATGAGCAGAAGTCTTCGCAGCAGCGGTGCTGACACGGCCTTTATGCGCAGAACAGCCACTTGGCCACAAAGGTGAATATCTGGGTGAGCAATTGGCCTTCAATCACCCCCCTCCCCAGCCCCGCCGGTCATACGCCCAGCATCACAGGCCTCTGTCCCGTGTGACTCCATGTGATCACTTCATCTGTGTCGCCCTGGGAGGGCAGGCTGTGTGTCAAGCTTGTCCCCGCTATACAAGACATTCCATTGCTCCATCACTTCACACAGTCTGCACTCAAGCACAGTTGTACTTGCCATCCACTGGGACACTGGTCCACCTGGGGCGTGACACAAGGGGACTGGCTAGAGCTCTGGGTACTGGCTAGAGCTCTGTGGCTGGCTTGACCAGGTGGCCACTGAAGGTGATGTAAAGGTCTCCATGCTCACCGTAGATGGCATTGTCACGGTCACGCTGGAACATGCGCACCCAGACGGTGTCGCCAGCAGCCAGTGGCAAAAGCAGGCTCTGAGCCTGCATGACGCTACGCTCGCTGGGCTGTGCGTACAGCACAGCCGTGGCCCTCTGGTTCAGCATGATGTGCACGTAGGTCTCCTTGTAGTTCCAGGTGTGCACATTGAGGCTCAGGAAGTAGATACCCGGCACTGCACAGTGGAAGCGACCCGAGGCCAGGTTGAAAGCACTGTCCACATTTACCAGTTCTGTGTCAAAGGGCACAGCCTGGAAGTCCTTGGCGCTGTGCAGTCCCTTGCGCCGGCCCACCGAAAAGGCTGCGTAGGCATGCTGGCACAGGGCACCCGGAGGCCCCACCTGCCCCTTCTGACCTTTGGGGCCCTGTAGGCCCCGGAAGCCTGGCAGACCCTCCTTCCCACTCCTGCCAGGGTGACCTCTGGGCCCTGCCTCGCCCTTTTCACCTGCAAGGGTACAAACAGGGGGCCTGGTCAGGGTCAGGCCCAGAGGGCCACCCCACCCTTCCAGGCCCTGTGTACGCGGACAAGGGCAGGAGCTCAAGGGTCACACTGACTGTGGGTGCTTATAAGTGCCTTCACCCCTTATAGCCTGTTCTGTCTGTAAAATGGTGCTCACTGCCCCTCCATGGTGGTAAGAAGCCATTCCCCAAAAGTACAGTTGTACCAAAGCCTGTGGCAAAGGCTGTCACCATCCAGAGATGGGTCTCAGATGGACTTTGACAGATGGGAGGGCTGGGAAGTTCTTATCCAAGTCTAACCTAAGCACAGCCTGCTGCCCAACCTGCAGAATGCAACCTCAGTTGCAGGTCTCAGATCAACAGGGCCTTTCTCTTCTCAAGGGTCCTGCTTCCTTCCCCAAGGGCCTCGGCACTCCCATTTGGTCTACATCCTTCTCCCCAGGCCAGGCTTCCTGCTGGGGCAGCCCCAAACAATCAGCCTTACCAGTGTGGGGACTGGAGCTCAGTGTCCTAGCCCCCCACCCTCTCCTCTGAGCTCCACATCCCTGCTTCCCTCAGCAGGGTGTCAGCCGCAGGGTGCACAAGCAGAATCTCTTGGACACTCACCTTTGAGAATTGAGATGTCTATGGTGGGCCGCACTTGGAGCAGCCCCCACCACTGGTCCCCAGAACTCACACGGGCATATGGGCAGGGGGCAGCAGCCCGGGGCCACGCCGGGCGGCAGCAGTGCACACAGGGCCTTCGGGACAGTCCCAGGCTGGGCCAGGCCCCCATGGGCAGCACCAGCACCAGAAGCATCAGGGCAGAGGCTGCCATCTCAGTAAGAGCCTGAGAAAGAGACAACCCTACTAGCAGCTCTGCCCCACAGCAGCCCTAGCTGTGCCCCCTTGTCTGGGGGAGACTGCCCCTGGAGCTCCCTGTCCTCCTAAGGGTGCTGTGGTGGGCACCCAGACCTCTGAGTCTGGGGTCTTCTTCTCCAAAGCTGGGGACTCCACACCTGGCAGGTAACAAGGGAACCCTCCAAACTCAGGAGCAGGCCAGTCATCCAACCCCCCACCCCCAAAGCAGGGCAGGCAGACCCCTTAGGGAGCGGTTGCTCCAGGAAGAGGCTACCTCACCCCAGGGTGGCCTACCTGGGGCACAGTCCCTTTCTCACTGGATAAGTGGCTGCATCCTGAGCTCCCAGGGGAAAACCTGCAGGGGACTTCAGGGGCTACCCCTTGAAGGCCCTCCAAAGTGGGAAAATGAGGCCCACCAGTCCTAGGCCTCCTCCTACCCCAGGGAGCCCACCCTGAAAACACATGTGCCAGGTGGGGTGATGGGGAACCAGACCCAGCCGGGGTCCACCTGAACAAGATGGGCTTCCCTCCCAGCTCAACTAGCAGCTGCCCATGGCCAGCCTGGGCCTTAGTTTACCCTGTACATGAGACCTGCTTGTCTTAGTCCCCATAAGGCTCTGTCTGGAGGTCACAGCTGGGGCTGGTCTCCCACAAGGCCAGGCATGTGGGTTCAGGTTACTTGACCTTCCCAGCACCTGCTCTTCTGGGCAAAGACAAGGCCCCCTCCTTTGAGAAGCCTTTAGGGGTTGCAGCCTAAGGCAAGTTCCTTCCTCTCATACAATGAGTCTGAGCCCCACTCCAGGTGGGCTGAGCTTCTTTGGCTTAGACTCCTTGTCTGCCTGAACCCTCAGAGCACAGCAGACCCTGACTTGTCTCCCCAGCCCCACTGGACCCCACACAACTCTCCTGGACTCTTCCTGTGGAGGCCCCAATAGGAGTGGGTGTGCCCCTGGAACCCTGCCCCTGGGGAGGCTTATGCCCTGGAGCTCTGAGATCCAGGCACCCAGCTACCTTTCTCCAACCCCAGCAGGCAGTCCAGGCTGGCTCCTTCTCTGCTAGGGTCTAGAGGAGAGCCCAGCCTGCTCAGTGTTGTGAAGACCCTCCTCTCTGGCCTGTGCCCCCTGTTACCGTCACACACCACAAGTGCTGCTGCTGCTGCCGCCGCCTGGTCGTCTCCTGTGCCTCTGCACCCAGCAGCCTGTCAAAGAGCCTTTCATGCCTGCCAGGCGCCTGTGGCTTCCTCCAGTCCGTCCAAGACCAACAGGCAAGGGGCCAGTGCCTGGGTAGGCACCTATAGGGCCCACTGTCTACACACAGCCTGCCCTGGGGGCTCCGGGGCCTCCTGCCAGACTCCTGTGCCTGTGCGGGTTTGGGAAACAATTATCTCGGTGGCTGGGCTGGGGAGTGGTGCCAGAGTGAGTAGCCCCTTCCATAGCTGAAGCCCAGCCTGCTGTATGCATGGGACACAGCAACTGGGGAACAGTCTGGGAGGCCGGAGTCACAGTTATGCCAGCTGGGCCTGGTGAGGGATTGGAGCCATGGGTGGGGCTACGGGGCACAGACCAAGACCACTGTGCCATGCCAGGCCAGCTCGGCCACTGGCCCACCTGGTGACGCAAACAACCCTCACCTGGGAGCCAGGGTTAGACTCAGTGATGGAGCCACCACCCCATGGCACCCCTCCAAGAAAGGCTGTGGTGCTGGCCCACCCTTTCAGCAACAATGATGGTGACTGGAAACAAGGACTCAGGGGCCTCCTAGGCCATGGTAGGGGGTTGAGTTGCATCCTCTGGGAGCCTGAGGTGAAGCCCACACAGGGTTCTGGACTGGGGACCACAGGCCTCTGGACAGAAGAGACACAGCCAGCAATCGCCAGGCTTCCTTCTAGGGGAGGTGCCCAATATGGCAGAGAACTCCGGCAGTGGTGCCCAAAGGTAGGCTTTGAGGGGGAAGGGCTGGGTGCTCCACCTGGTGCTAGGAAGGAGGGAAGGACACCAAAGCAGGCCCTGTGGGGGGGCCTCCCTAAGGCTGGTGAGAGTGCTGGGCAGGGCCCTGACTGCTGGTGCTGGTTCAGGGGCTTCCTCTAGCTACTGGCCCCACAAGATAGCAGCTCAGGCCAGCAGCCCCTCTGGGGCCAACCGTCTTCACCTTGCTTTGGCTGTGGGATTACAGATGGGGATGTGAAGATCCCAAGTCCCCAGACAGGGTGTGCAGCCACTTGAGCCATCTCTGCACACCAGGACACAGTCCCATGGGTGCTGGGTGGCAGGTCCCTGGAGGGCCCAGGTGGGGGCTCCTATGTGACAGCCTGATCAGGGTCACTGCCCTTCCAGTGGCAACTCAGAAGTGGCTGAGAGTGTCCCCTGTGGCAGATGGGGACTGGTGAACACAGCTGTGGGGACCTGTCAGGCTCCAGTTGCTGAGTCCTTCTCTATGGGTCCCCCTTAGAGCTCCCTGACACCAGCAGAGATGCCCTCCCCCCAAAAACAGAGGGAAGGTTCCTATAGGAACATGGGACCTCCCCAAGACAGGGCCAGGGGGAGGAAGGGGCCTCTTCCAGGGAAGCTATGTGGTCTGAAGAGCCTGGGATGGGGTCTTTGGGTCCCTCTAAACCCTGCTTGGGAGCATCCATCAGGGCAGGTGTCCACATTGCCCCTATGGGCATAGGAGCCCCAAGCCAAGCTCTGGGCAGAGCATAGCGGTCAGTGAGAGCAGAGGGTGCGTCAGTGGCGGCAGGAGAGCTCATCTCAGGGACAGAAATAGCCCTGGCTCAGACACCGCCACTGGCATCACCCTGGCGACGGGGAGCTAGGCCGAGCCTCATGCCCTAGGGGCCCTCAGTGGACATCCTGCTGGGGCACCAGGGGCGTCAGCACCCCTCACTGCCTCCCATGTTGGGTTAGAGTGGGAAAGCTATGCTTTCCACCTCGTGCTGATGAGGTATCAGGTGGGCCCTCTGACCTCAGCACTCGTGCAGGGTGCCCAGGAAACAGGTGGGCTCTGGTGGGTGCCAGGTCTTCACTGTGAGTGCCTAGCAAGGCAGGAGTGCAGCAGGCATCCCCCACATCCCCCAGCCCAGCAGGTGGTACGAGTGTGAAAAAGGGTCGGGCTATGTGTGCGTAGCTTCTACCACCATCACCCTCACCATCACCACAGGCTCTGCTGCAGCCGGGCAAGGCCAGCCAGTGAGGGAGGGGTGTACAAGCTTCCAACCCCATGAGCGACCGTGTGGCCTGGTCAGGAGGCTCTACACACAGGGAGCCTCGACATAGCAGGCTTAGTGGACAATGCTGTGGACAGAGTGCAAGGCTGCCTCTAGGGCCCAGGGGTCACTAAGGGCTACTGACGATCTGGGAGTTGGGAGAGTACACTGCAGTAGTGTTGCCCCTGCCCCCACACAGCCCTCACCCAAGAGTGCCCTCCCCTCAGAGGACCTGAATAGGCCTGGTCCTCTCCACTCCAACCCTGGTTGGGCCACTAACAACTGCAGGGGTCCAGGCGGCACCTGTGGCTCAGTGGGTAGGGACAGGCCCCATATACCAAGGATGGCAGGTTCAAAACTGGCCCCAGGCAACTGCAACAAAAAATAGCTAGGCGTTCTGGCAGGCACCTGTAATCCCAGCTACTCAGGAGGCTGAGGCAAGAGAATAGCCTAAACCCAGGAGTTGGAGGTTGCTGTGAGCTGTGATGCCACAGCACTCTACCGAGGAGGATAAAGTAAGACTCTGTCTCTAAAAAAAAAAAGACAGTTGCAGGGGTCCAATGGACCCTCCTGGATAGCTGGAAAGGCACCTATGCCTGTCTCGGTTTTCTTTTCTTTTCTTTCTTTCTTTTTTGCAGTTTTTGGCCAAGGCTGGGTTTGATCCCGCC